AGTTCCGATTTTGCTTGTGGAATTCGGGAACGCCGGCTGGCGAAAGACTTGGTCTCTATCTGGCATCGATCACCATAAACAGGATTAAATTGCCCGGTCGTAAGGGGCCGTATAGGATAACGGTGGCAGCGGGACTCGTTATTTCGTAACGGCTCGTCAACGAGATACTCGCAAGAAGCGTGATCACCAGGACGCGTGCTACGCAAACAACACATTCAAGCGAATGGCATTACGCCGCTTTATTTCCGCCCCCCTCCTTTGCAACTATTCTCGAACGATGACGCTGACGACGATGTCGACGAGGATGAGGGTGAGAACGACGTGGCGGCGCCAAGCGTCCCGGCGCCCTCCGAATCCATCTTGTCATTTATTTTCTTTACATAATACACGAAGCTTCCATGGATGCGGCTGCCTTACCTCGAAAGGGAAAAGAACGGCAGATAACTGAATGCCATTCACGCGCAGTGAAAAAGTCTCTTTGGAAAATCGTCAATTATGTAGAACGTCCCTCTCCATTATATGCGACAATACGACTCTGATATCCTCCGGTCATTAATAATTTCACGAAAAAAAAGTTTACGACTTCATTATTATTAATATTTAAACTTCACTCGAAATTTGAATTAATTGAAAAGCTTGCATGCACGCGCGCTGCAATATGAGTTAACTAACATTTTGTAAAACTAGAAAAAAATGAACTGTGAAGTTAAAGTGAAGAGAAAAATGTATATATTTGTATATACACATTGCTACAAAAACTCTCATATTTTAGCACACATGTCCGAAAAGTTTATTACAGGTTTACCTACAGATCGTAAATAAAAAATATTACGGAGTAATTTTCCATGGAAAGCTGTTAAAACTAATCAGTTGTTTTAAATTTTTAAACACACATAGAAAATAGGAAAATATTTTTTAATAAAATATTTCTAATCGTCTTTACTTTAAAAAATCTACTAAATGGTCTCTATTAAAAAATATTTTATTTTTCGTATTTACTGTGGTTCGTTAAAAAATGACAGCTAATTAGTTTCAGCAACTTCCCAAGAGACATCCTGTGTGTGTATGAGAAGAATAAAGTTTTTCTGCATTAGGTGGTGATCTGCATTGCTGAGTGATAAAAAAAATACGATTGCAAAAAACAAAACATCGATATAAAAAATAGATTAGCCCGACCTTTAAAAATACAGCTGAATATGTGATATTGGAATGGGAACGGATGAGTGATAGATTCCTACAAATAGAGGAGAATCTATTATTCATCCATTTTTACCAATATTCAGCTACGTTGTAGCTTAGCAAGCCCTTCAATTTTAAGTAACGCATGTATCAATCTAATATACAGCACCGCCCAAGTGTTTTAGTAAATAGCAAAAATATTTTAGAATAAACATATAAGAGATAGAAAAATTGTTTTCATATTTTACATTAAATATTTCTTAACTTAACATTTTTTTCTGTATATTAAAAAAATATATATATACCCTTTAAGCTCTCAGAATTTGCATCATAATGAACTAACGCTGGCATGTTAATTTGAGTGTTTATTTGATCACTAGCACATTAATATTTGTTTTTATAAACTGTGATTGCTTCTTTCAGTCTTCTATAACCGACGATGATGATTGTAGAGTAGAATACGTTATTTGCTCACAATTTTTAAGCTTGACTAAATATTTGTTTACTAAATTCAGTTTTTACGCAAAAAAAAAACTGAAGAAATTCAAAACAGACAGTAGTGAGCAAATATTTAGTCAAACTTAAAACAAAAAATGTAGTGCTTTAACAATTCTTCGGGTCAAATATACATAAAAGATCAACATTTAATTAATAAATACAAGTGACAAACAATCAAATTGTGTTTTCTGTGAAAATTGCATTGATTGAAAATTTTAAATAATACTATCTATATAATAAATTATGCAAGTATATTTATTTAGCGAATCCTAAAAATATGTATTCGACAATTTAAATACTTTAAATGTTGTAATAAGAATCTTGACAAGGAAATTCCACAAATTCTTGGAAAAAATATATCACGAATCTTTCCTAAAAATTCGTACAATTTTCTTGTCAAAATTCCTCTATATAATATCTAAAACATTTGAATATATATGTATAATATTACAATAATTTAATTTATTTAAAAAATTTGGTCATATAGTTATATTCTTCATGTAATAATATATATTATTACGTATTTTTATATATTACAAGATTTTATTGAAAACCTTTTTATAGTCAAAATATCGTTCTCAAACAAATTACTGCTGAATTAACACAAAAATCTAAATCCATATTTTTTTTATTATAAGTTTTAAAATATTTTATTTAGTAATAATTGATCTCCCCAGTTAGTTACGTGAGAAGAACCAACTTTCGCGGTGTCTGTCTACACAAGTTGACTCTCCAAGATGTCGTAGGCTACAATTCTTACAATTTCATCATCGATAGCAAGGAGACACGCGATCAGGGTCGATCTGGCTGACCCAGAAAACGATTTCGTCGGCGAAAGCGATCAGAGCGATATCCGCCGGATAGCATCGTAACTCGCGGACCACTCGTAGATATATAACTGCTTCCGGATGGCCAAAAATATGATGGCACGCAAGCCTTTTGCAGATGACGCGGATCTTAGACGCGATAACGCTAGTTTTAGGGCTCGTCTTGGCCGGTTCGAGTCGGCCAAACGGCTTCAGTGTTTCATGGCATGAATTATTTATTTAATCGGTCGAATGAAAAGCTAGACGCCGATCACGGAATCGACTGACGTCCAACTATCCTAGAGCTTTTCATGTGTTCTCGACAGCTAATCAGATGTTAATTTTCTTTGTATGTGACACGACATGATGCAACATGTCGTGAGTTAGATGGATATGGAACTTCCAAGATGAGAGATAACTAAGATTGATCGGGCAATATTAAGTCACCATAGATGAAAATTTGAAAAATGATATTCCTGGCATGACAGAATTGATTGAGAAGTCAAAAATTTAGCATTAATCATACATATATTAGTGAAAGATAAAATTATAATTAATAATTACTTTAATGTTTATAGGAATCATTATTTATTATTATTATTATTATTATTATTATCTATTAAGATAGTCAAATAAAAGATACTTTTTAAATTCTTTAGAGTGGATTCTAAAAATTGAGACAGTGTTGGAAAGGAATGTAAATTTAACGATAATAAATATGTTAAACTTCAGCTGTATATATACTTAATTTTAAATATATTGAATTGTTACTAAATATATTTTTTTGAATGCATTAAACATTTATTGCATACTATATAATTATTGCTGAATAATTGCATTGATAATGTATATTTTTCACAAATAATTTTTGAATAAGTTTTTATAGAAAACATCGAGAGAGAACAGAGTTTAGAAAAACTAATAAAGTTCACAATTGCTGAAGCGCATGCGAAATTTTCGAAATTCCATTTGCGAATTGTCTGTCACACGTAAAACAGCATGTCCAATTTGTGTGCGACGCGATTCGGAAGGTGGAAAGTTAGGTAGGGAAATGGATAGACACGCGGTTTACGATACGTCCCGAAAGGCGCATCTCCGGGATCGGGTCGCGGCAAAATGCATTTACCAAATGCGATTCCGCCATCGTCGCAGAGATGAGACAGCATTTTTACGTTTCCTCGTTCTAAAGGCGTTTCCGGCGTTACGAGTGCAAGGAGGAAAAGCGTCATTTCCTGTATGCCGCTCGTCGTCGTCCGGTCGCGTTATGAAAAAGCCGTCAGGACGAGGTTGCCCCAGGAGAAGAGCTCGTATCTTATTATTTTCCGCGGGATCCTAGGGACGTCGCGATCCGGGCTGGGTCAAGGATAGGGTAGGATGTGACGTCACAGGCTCTGCCAGGAGGATCGATATCCTGCTGGTTGCCGAGTGGCGTCACATCGCCGCGAAACACGTCTCCGTTGGTTTCTCTTCGTTAACTTCATCTATTTTACCTATAAACAGTCACTTTGAATGCTTTGCTGTTCTTCATTAACTATCCCCCTGCCGCGTGTTTGCGCAAGAAATTTATCTCAAAATGTTAAGCCTTTGTTTATTATTTTCTCAATTTCCTTCTGTTATTGAAAATAATTTTGTTATAATTTTTATAAAAATTAATTTGTACTAATGCATGCATATTTTTAATTTGTACAGAGATCTCAATTATAAGGAAATTATATAATTCATGTGTAAATTTTTTAAAAATAATTTTTTTAAAATTATACAGCTGACAAATGTAGAAAGTGTCATGCAACATGTAAAATTATATAGGGTCTACAAGTTTGCTCCCGCCGTTTTTACAGGTATAAAACTATCTATATGAAAACGGCGGGAGCAAACTTGTAGACCCTATATAAAAGTTTGAAAATAATAAGATACTTCAATCATTATTTTTTATGCCTTTTTAAGAAATGGATGCTGTATTAGATGTATTTTTTTGATAAAATTAATAATTACTAAAAATTTGGAAACATTTTAAAACATAATACCTAAAATCTCCAGCCTATTTTTAAAAAATGTAATTTAAAGAATATTATTAATACCTATTTCTTATGCTCTTTGATTATCAAACTATTCAACCGTAAACATTAATTTATATGCAATGACGATAAAAGATATCGATCGATTACACTGAGAAAAAAAAATGATTGCAATAACTATTTTACCAACTTAGTTTACAATCATTTTTGGTCAACTTATATATTTTTTAGTAGATTTATAAATATTATCACTAACATTATAGCAATAAAAACTACAAAAATGGAGCTTCTGACCATAATTATTTATGCAATTATAATTACAAATACTCTAAGCACTTTCCTTTCACAATCAGTAAATTCCGCCACCGAGAATTCATATCCCAAACCTGCTCAAAGGACTCGTACAGACTTTCCATCCCTTCAATCATCCCTTAATAAAAATTCATCCTACACACTCCTTTATGTCCCGCGATATTGTACAACATTCTCCACGTTCCAACAGATGCTGAAGTCCTGCAGGACTCTGAGCATGACGGTGCGAGGACCCGCCTTGGACCCCCGCTGCCGAGGTGGTCACCCCGTATGGTCGTCGTCGGGTCGTCCACAGTCCTGCAGTTGGATGGACCGCCAAGGTCGTCCGGCGTCTCCACCGCCCCCTCATCCACCCCGTGATTCCCGCTACGGACCGAGGACGCGAAAAGTCGAGCTGTGCATCGAACCCGGCCAATCTCTAGGCCTGATGATCCGTGGCGGCCTCGAATACGGCCTCGGAATCTACGTGACGGGCGTCGACAAGGACAGCGTCGCCGATCGCGCCGGGCTCCTCGTGAGAATCACGCTTTTCTGTTAGATCTCAAGTCTTTACGACAGATTTCCGAGGAAAGCAAGCGACCAACTCAGCAAGCGCAATTTTTAGCGAAAGTGTATTTTATTGAATGTACTACACTCTTAGATATCAAAAAAGCAATGGTAACCCAATCTTTGAATTAAATAACATTTTGTTATTTTCAATTTTCATTGATGTCAAAATGTAATCCATTTCTGTAGTTGAATTGTTTAGTTTCAAAGTAAACAATGTCCACATTAACGTATGCATTTCATATAATGAATCATAAACTAAATTTGAATTGATAAAATTTGAATACACATTTCTTGAATTAAATTATTTAAATTCCATTGTTTTAGTGAAATTAATAATATATTATGTAGGAGCAGTGACGACCTGTAGAAATGATTAAAAATAACTCAAATAATGATTATTTGTTAATGTGCATATTATTTAGTTTATTCATTTATTTATAGTTTATGGCAGTAAGAAATATGAAACTTTGAATTAAATCATAAGAATATTATTAGAAACAAAATTATGTGATTAATTTATTTGCGATGAGGTTTAATTGACAACTTAATAAAATCTAAAGTTTCTCTGACAACTACTTTGTGCGTTGGGGTGAGTCACAAGGTTTGTCTTATGATTTTTTATATTAATTAATCATAAGTTAGTTTTAACAGATTTTGCTACTATCAAATCTGTCAATTTACTGTTTCCATCCTTTGCATACAAAGGATAAACATATATAATAGCTGAAGAGGACTCCAAAGTGAGTCGAAACGTACAATGTGATTTTGTCATCAACCATGGAATAAAGAATATTAAGTAAAAAAAAATTTTATTTGCGTACTATTATCAACGCTGCACTCTTATTCGCCCGGTCTAATCGCCATTATTGTTTATAATGAATATTTACTTTATTTCTCGACACTGCTCCATTTTATTTACATCCTTCAATTCTCTCATTCATGAATCGAGTTCTAATATGAGATGCAATGTCTCGAATGATCGCAGGTGGGCGATCAGATTATTGAGGTGAATGGGCAGAACTTCGAGGAGGCGACGCACGACGAGGCTGTTCAGATACTGAAGACCAACAAAAGGATGAGTCTGCTGATACGTGATGTCGGCAAAGTGCCCCATTCGTGTACCACCAGTCAACCTATAGTAATCCCGACCGCCCGATATCCCGAGCACGATCCTTCACTTTTGGAAAGTCCCGGGAATCATCGTCCACCCAGTCCCGCGTAAGTCGCAAATGTGTTTTTATAAAAAAGTTTAAATAATAAATTTTAAATATAATCTCTATTATATGTACCTATATATCTAAAATATATATTTTTTAGAAATATAATCTCATCTATACTGTTTCTTATTAATTTTATGTCTAAAATTTACTTTATATTTATACCGATTAAAGACAGAAAAAGCGGAAAGAAACAGAAATAAATTTTGAGTATTTACAAAGTATAGAATTAAAAATTTTGCAAAATATATTTGGCACGAGATATGCAAAGTTTCTTGATGATTTTTAAATTCTCGCAAAAATTCTATTTCAAGTATCAATATTAATTCGTTATATAAAAATTGTTATCTGAATTAATAACATTAATAAAATCAATAATTAAACTTGCATAATAATATAAAAATAATATTTGCTGTTAATCATATGATTTATTAAATCGTGAATATTGAACGAAGCCAGCTTAAAAGTCAACACATCGTCACGTGTATTCCGGATAAAATTCATGTAAATTATATTTTCAACTTAAATGTTAATACAATGTACAAACAATGTTCAGTAACTACTAAAAAATTAATTAGCCTACTACAAATACATTTTCAAGTAAAACGAAAATGTTGACGTTTTAAGTTTATCCGAGTATGTGTGAGTCTACTTGTAGTTTACTTCTTACTAATTATTTAATGCCGTTCAATTTTGATTTTTGATGGATTTTTTGAAAATCAAGAAGCAGCACGAATGAGTGGAGGCATCGGAGTGGCGTTCACACCGTTTCGGCAGCCACCGCCGCCATGGTGGAAGAGAAGGCGCGGGTCGTCCTCGCTAGGAGCGAACGAGCCGCGCTCTCTCAGCTGTTGGCGGATTACAGGACGAGAAGGCTGACGATAGAGGATTTGATCGTCAGCCTGAGCGATCTGTTAAACACTCACGAGAAACTGACGCTGCTGACGGAGCTCAGGGAGTTGGTTGACAACAAGGACAGAGCGGCCTTCGACGATCTCGTTTACCGACCCCGAATAGCAATGGCCAGGGTAAGTGATCCTTAACCAAAACAATTTTAATCCCGGAGTTGAGAATATTCAGAGAATATATATAGATTATGTACGGAAACTTAAATTATATGAAATATTCAAATCATGTAGAATATTCAACGAGAATTGTTAAGTTAGAGCACGTGTCCAGAATTGTCAACAAAGTATTTCTAATTCTAGCAAAATTCTAACACTGATACACAAAATTGAATTAATAATAATAATGACGAGATATATAAAACTTATGGAAAACGTATTTAGGAAATGTACGCAATAAGGTTTCGTTTATTAAGGAACGACAAGAGAATCGTATGATTAAAGACAGAAGTTTGCGAATTTAGTTTCAGAGAAAGGAATAACAATAAATAAATAAGTTCTCATTTTAATATTATTTACTGCTACATAAGATATATAAAAAATGAATCTGTAATACAAAATTTATTAAAAATATTAGGATTTTTTTCTATCGTCAAAAACACCCAAAAATTTCGAGCTTTGCGATAATTTCGTGATTTCTAAGAAAATAAATAATGTAATTGTTTTGAGGACATTTTGCTCTACAGAATGTGAATTGTCTAAAATGGACATTAAAAAATACTATTATGAAATAATAACAATATAATATAAATAACGTTAAGTTCGATACGAAATTAGAGTTTTATGTTATCATCATATTTTGTAATAATATTTTTTTAATAGTTTATTTTAGGTTTAATTTGTACAGTAAAATATCCTGAGAAAAATTAGATTAAAAAATAATAGATTGATTCTTTAAAAATCGTGATAAAACACGAAACACTCAAAACAGACCTATAATCTCCGATAACACAAAAAATTTCTATATTTTTAATAGTATTATAAATTAATTTTTTGTATCTCAAATATAATAGTAAATAATATTTAAACGGAAAATTGTTCATTTATTCCTTTACCTAAAATAAATTCGCAAGAGAGTTTCGTGTTCAATTTGAAAAGCTCGTATCCTGACCCGTTTAATGTTAACGTATGCAAACATTTGGAATTGTAATGATTAGTTTCAGAATAATCAATTCACATCTCGAAATAATGTATTTCTATATCATCGAACGCATTTCCATTATTATTATATCGTGACAATTATAGAAAAAATTAAATTCGAAATGAAGATCAAAATGTATTTTTGATAAATTTTTAAGATAATTTTAAATACTGGAACACATATTTTTTCTTGCTGCTACAGGTAAATAATCACAAAAATTATAAGAAATTATAAGAAAGAAGTATACTAACAAGTTCTTTTGCTATTTTGATACGAATATTTCTTTAAAGAAGACTAACACTTACGACAAAGTAAAGTAAAAATTGTGAGATAAAGAGTCGAGGGAGCTGCAGCGGTTTACGACCGTCGCGTCGTGCCATTTCATCGGGACGTGAATCGCGCGATTAGGAGACAGGTGAAAGAAAGCCGAAAGTCCGGCAAGACGACCTTTAAAATGGTGCTTCATGTTTTTGTTTCCAGAGAAAAGGCGACCGCGCACACTCGGACCTGATAGTGACACCCTCGCTCCACGATCTTCCGGTGAGTCACACTTATCTTCTACATTCTATTCATATCCCTCGAGCTTACATAGAACGCAAAGTCGTACACGTACATACACATACGTACATAATTACATACACATCACACGCATAAATTCTCGGATACACCGCGCGTTGTGCGCATTGTTATACTCACGTACAGGCACACGTACACGTTTTCTATCAACTCTTGTCTCTACGACGATAATGTATGGAACCGAGTACTTTTTTTCCTCTCTCTCTCTTTTTCCTCACTTGCTGTGTTCTGTGAATCTCTTGCTCACCCTAATTGCCGAGACACTCGAAATCGCTTTTGCGTGCTCGCCCTTTGTCGATGGACTCCGCGGGGAAAGCAACAGGGAAATATTCCCCGAAAGTTCCTCGTCGCACGCGCGCGTTCCTAATCGACAAATTGCGGCCGTTGGGAAAATTATTGTCTATCCGAGAACGAGCGAAATTATTCGGACAAAGGGAACCAATCCTAGGAGAAATGTCCTACAGCAATTAATAATTCGTAACAAAAGCGCCAAAATTTATAACAATCAACGGAAATAGCTCGAAATATAATTACTGTGCGACAGGAAGTAAAACTTGTCTGATTATTGCATCAAAATTTCAGAAGTAACGCTTTATAGTTAACTAGACTTGCGTTACCATAAGCGAATTGATGTAAATTGATGATTGGAATAATATAGATTCATGTTTTTTTTCGTAAGAGATCTCAAAAGATTATAATTACGATATAACACAAATAAATCTTTATTTTTATAAAGTTTAGGTATAATACCGATGACACTTGCTACCGATGAATATTTTAGTACTTTTGTAGACTAAATATTTAGTATTTTAAAAAACATTTAATATGTTTAGCATATAAACATTAAATATAATTTAATATACCTGAGTATCATTATTGCTATACTAAATACTAAATTAGTATAAATAGATTAAACACACAAAATATACTAAATATATAATACTTTATTACATTTATATAGTAATATATATCAAATTAGTATATAATATTAAAGTTCGTAAAATTAGTATAAATAATAAATATAACTTAGTATTTAAGTATATTCATCGTGTTATACCTAAACTATATTTAAATACTATATACGCGACAAAAATAATATAGGCGCAAAAGCGAAAAAGACTTGAAAATAAGTGAAGCAACGTGAAAATAAGAACCACTAGGGAAATCGATACAAGCAATAAATATGGGAACGGACATTCGGTGATCAAGTTATCGCTCGTTATCGGTGACCGGCACAAATGCAACCGACGACGGTCGAAACAGGATGGAAATCCACGAGTATCAATCAAGTATTGATTGGAGAGGTGCGAGGGAATGGAGAACGCCACGCAAACAAGAAGGATGCTCTTAGGAAGAATGAAGGATCCCTCAGCGGAGAATCCGCGATCCTTCCGGAGGCCGTTTCGCGAAAGAATCCTTTGCGCCGCTCTCTCAATCGAGAGAGAAAGAGAGAGAGAAAGAAAGGGAGGTGCGCAATATCGATCGCCATCACGATCGATTCCGTTCCGTTTGATCATTCCGGTCTGTCGTTATCTTCTCCTCGAACAAAGCATGACTTGTCTTTTAGGAAAATGACTTGCAGCCCCTTCGTCTCTTTCTCTCTATACATCTCTCTCTCTCTCTCTCTCTCTCTCCTTCCGCGCTGAGAACAACAGCTGCCTGATGATGAACAAAACTCGCTCTCTAATATAAGGAAATATCGAGGTCCGTTGAGCAAATGACGTGTTCCAAGCACGGCGAACAATTTCTGCCATATTTCTGCCGCGTTGTTAACGTTTAATGATCTCTTCTAACGTTACGCCATATACGCGAATACGTACGGAGCCTGTACGGTTTGAAAGCCACGCTTTTGAATTTCTTCCATCAATTGAAAAAAAGCACGTACGCTAGTAGCGCTAAATTTAATATAATATGAAAAATTAAGAGAAAAATCATGTGATTTTTAAGTCAACATACATCTGTCGACTTTTCGTCTTTCTCTTTTCATTCAAGCGCCCTGTTTGGTTTCTTAGAAGCAAACGCTTTATATCCATTTATATATTTCTAGCGCCATAATTGCTTACGTCAATATATATAATAGGATTAGTTGTAGTAAATTAATTAGTAATTCGTTATTATTAATTACGCTGTTTGTTTAAACGACATGAGATTCATTCGAACGAATTTTGTTCGTCCAAGCGCAGCTTTTTCCTCGGCGTGTCTTTTTCTTTCTTTTACTTTCTCTAGAATTACGCCATAAACATTCTCTTCTTCTACTTGTCACCTTCTTCTTCTTCCTCCTCTTCTTCTTCTTATTCTTATATTGACTCTTAGTCACCGCTACTGCTATTACTATTATTTACAATCTTGCTTATATGCTGCAGCGCTACTTTTGCTCCCTGTAATTAATCCGTGTTTGCCGGCAATTCGGAAAATCGATTCTTTCATATTGAATTCTTTTGAGACATGCCTATTTTCATCTGTCATTTATTCTCCTTTTCTATTACATAATCGTAAAAAGCAAAGAAAATATTTAATTAATTACATTTAATTCGAAGGAATCGATAGCGAGTAATTGAGGGTAAAGTATCGGATGTCACTTTATAATTATACGTTGCATAATTATAATTAGACAGAATGTAATTTATATTATAACACGTAAATTATAATATAAATTACGTAAATATAGAATGCAACTTACAAATAATGCTGTATGTATCGTGTAATTTATAGATACAAAAGTATCAAATATTCTAGAGACGTATTCCCATCGACCAAACATTTAAAAGTGTTCATGTAAATATGCGTTTAGAAACGCTTAGTTTTGGGAACAAATGGAACATTATTGTTTAACAATTTCAAACGATAAATAGAACAAGTAATGAACGTTTAAGCATTTTTGAATATTCTTTTTCGATGAACACTCTTTATTACATATTATTATTTATTATATAAATTCTTCACAACGATCTCCTTTAAATAGTTTACCATATAGCTTTCAATCTTACGCATTTATACAATTTATACGTTATACAAATTATTATAAAAAGATTAGAAAATCATTAATAATCCTAAAACTGAACGTTTCTAGTGTTTAGTATCTAAAAATGTTTAAATGTTAATTATTTGTTTCATTAACTGCTTAATATTATCAAACAATAAAATTCTTTCCTTAAAAATTAAGCGTTTCCAAACTCATGTTCGTATAAACTTTCTTTAAAGTTTGGAAATGTGTGTCTGTAGAGTATTTGACACATACTATTAATTTACATTGTATTTGTGACAAACATCTCGTCTAATTTCTATAATATAATTATAATTATGCTATAAATAACAAAACTGTATTTCTATGAACGCCGCTCTCTTTACCGCAATTAAAATGATATATAATTAAGATTTCTCATTGCGAGAAAATGTTGCGCTCTTGCACATACATTCTCTCCCTTCTTATCGTTAGTTGGATACAATTTGTTAGATGCCTGCCGCTAACAGACAAGTAGAAAGCTGCTGTGCTCGCCAGACACCATCTTCCTTCCACCTTCTCTCTCACTAAAAACATTATGATACCCGAGACGCTCGTTCCGTTTCGCGGTTTCCGCGCGAGCTAAGCAAAAGTCGAGCAAACTGCAAAGCGTTTCGTTCTCCGCGGGAAAATCGCAGAAAACAATTGCCTCGTGCAAGTACAACCAAGGACTTCGATTCTTTCCCTCGGAAATTTTTGCAAACTGAGAAGTGATCATTTTTTTACATTAATACTCACAGTGTACGATTAACGACACGATTAAACCTTAATCGCGCACAGACTATGAGCATTAATGTGAGAAGATGGTCACTTCTCAGTTTGCGAAAATTTCCGAGAGAAAGAATTGAAGTCCTTATATGTACCAAATCAAAACGAATTTTTTGCCCGCAAGTGTCCGTTCGACTGGAAAAATCGAACCGATGAACCGACCCTCGATTCACGACGCTATTGATCGGCGGAGGCACGTAAATGAGCTGTAGATCATTCCGGCCTCTTGGCTGATGATCTTGAAGAGGCGATGCATCCGGGATGCCTCGGTAGAGCGTCGTAAATCAAGTGTCAGCTGCACGCGCGGAGACAAATGTTGCAGACAGAACGATGCGCGACACGTCGATCGATGATGAATTGTACAATTGCTAATTTCGCTGGTGCTTGAACTGCCAATTGCTGCCAGATCAGATAGGTCCGAGTTAATCGATACTCACTGAGGTTAACAAACCGCGTGAAACTTAAGTGCGCCTATTAAATACGCGATTTAATTATATATCGAGAGAAAAGTGTTTGATATTTGTGACGATAATTGTAAGGTAAAATAATTATTATTAAGAGTTCTATTTTTATAATTATTACTGCTGTAATGTTAGTAATATTAATTATATTTATATAGTTCTGTGTACGCATAAAAAATAATTGGCCCCGGAAACTATATATATAATATTATAGTCGTTTTTTAGATCAACTATATATTTTTTACGTATATAGAGCTATAAATATAATTATTATTATTATAGTAATCATTACAAAAATACTCCGTTTTTAGTGATCTATAAAAACGGCTTCTAATCATGATTGCTTTATCATATAATTATTGTAGTCACGCAAACACTTTTCTTTCTTTTAGTACATTTACCTTGTCGACAAAACAAAAAATCGAAACAAAATGAAATTTATTATATATTGTTATCAGTCATTTTTATCATATGTTATTTAATTAAATATATATATCGCGGCATTCTGAAATAGAAAAGTGACATCTCAAAATTAGCAATTTTTAAATACAGCATTTTTTAATTCTGATTAGAACAATATTTTAATTAGGACAGTCAATAAATTCATGCTTTCCATGTTATATTGCTAAATATAATGTATTTTTTTAAATTTTTATCAAAATAATTTTCAAAAATTTTTTAAATATACAGAACAATATTATAAATATAATGAAAATATATTTTTGATAAATGTGCCGAATAAGGAAAACAGCCCCCATGACATATGTTGTCGAGGTCACAATTTTGAGTAACCTTCAACAGATTTTAGTCGTTCGTTATTCGTTAAAAACTTATTAATAAAAAGTTTAAAAAAATAATGTATCATTTCTTTTACAACGAAAGTTATAAACCTATGTAGAATCCAGTTTATATGTTGTAAAATGTATGTGTGGATGCAGTGGGTTCCGTCTCTCCCTCACTACGGGAGGCTATACTATCAAAAAAATTCGGCATATTTACCATATTTTTTTTATAAATAAAATAATTACAATATTATATAATACATTTTCAAAAAAATAATATAAGTCGAAATATGATATTTTTCTATGACTTTTTTAATACCACCAACATTACTGTACAGTAACTAAAAAAATGTCTTTTTTTATAAGTAATCATTATAAATTTGATAGGTAAGCGATATATATATATATATATATATATATATATACTTCTGTTCTATACTAGTAAATTGGAAGAGCTACGAATGTATCGTTTTTTTTTTCAAAAAAATAGTCTTCAAAGTTATTTTTTTTATTACACAGTTATACAAAAATACAACTTTTATGGGACCTGAATAAACGAGGCGTTTTCGCATTATTCAACGCTTCGTTTATTCAGATCCCAAAATAATGTTAAACTGTGTTATCGAAAAAGTATTGCTCATTTTTCACTCGTGTCACTTTTTTATTAACGCGATAAATATATTAAGCATTATTTTTTTGTAGTCGAGACATTATTTTATTTAGAATTGTACGTAAATTTTAAAACCATTTTATTCTTACTATTTTCACTTCTCGTAATTTTTAATTTTCATTAAAATTAATTAAAATTTTATTATTATTCCAATATGAACAAAAATATGCCACTTACTATTCGCAATTCTATTTTAATTATTAAAACTATACCTTAATTTATTTTAATTAAGCTAGTAGAAATGTCTTGATCTCTTATCTCTTATACTTTAAACAAACTTATTCAGTTTTGACCAATTTTTTTTTATTTGCAATTGTTATACGGAAAGAATGATTTTACTAAAATGTCTAAAAAGTTAGCTGGACACAAATCTGAAAATAATTTTGTTAAATCATCAAAATAATTACGTAGGAATCTCAAGCAATGCTGCAAAAAGTTTTGATATTCTAGTAATTAGTTTGAGCGTCCTACATAACTATTTTAACAGTCCAAACAAAATTTATCAAATCTATCTAGCTAACTTTTCATATACTTCAACAAAAGCATTCTCTCCATGTAATTTATCATATCATTGTGGAAGTTATGAGAAGATATCTACACACGAGAATAGAGATGACTCAAATAACATTCGTCAATGTCGTTACAATAAATATTTGCGAACACGTGCACGATAAAGAACAATCCGCAAGAATACTTTTAATATCATCTCGCCGCGGCACGCCGATGAAATCATCGATCGGCCGATCGCCCCTCGTTCAAAAAAAAAAAAAGTGAGAAAGCACTCTTTTTCTACGCGCGGTAACGGAAAGGGCGCACGGCATGACACAGGACATCTGATTTCTCGCAGAGGGGTGTGCCCGGTGGTTGTTGCCGTCCGGGACGACTGGTGGACGTCGAGGGAGACCCTCTAGGAGTGACGGGCCCTCTTCTACCGCGGGATAGCCAGGAGTATAGGTCGCCGAGCGAGGACAGCGGTCTCGGGGCCGACATGCCCAGGACCAGGTCGACCGCATGAATCTCTCCAGCGCAAAAGGATCACGAGTCGCCATTGTTAACGGCATAATTTTCACGCGTCGGGAAAAATCGTTACCCAGTAAACAGCAACCAAAAGTATTGTAACGTCGTGTTACAATTTCACACTCAACAATGTAAATAAAACGTAACACGTGTATGTTACATAATACTTACATTATTAAAGAGCTTATTCTAATTCTTAATGGCTGTAACGCTACAGTCGTTAAGAGTTACAGAATAGGCCCCTTAGTGTAAAATTATAATATTGATTGTGTTCAACAGAAAAAGCAGCCTTGCAACTATTTAAGACTATTTAATATGATTGGTTCATAAATTTAGATTCTGTGAGAGGAGCTGAAGGCAAGACTAATCATATTAAAAAATGTTTCAAAGTAGAGTTCTAGAAAATTACAGATTCGTCATAGAAAAATACAGCTTGATTGGCTGTTTACCAGAAACTAAAAAATATTGCTTAATAAATAAGGAAAAAATTATCGCGCTGCGATCATATAATTTAAACAGCTAATAGATATATAATATTAGGAAAAGTGACTCAATATAATAACATTTCTGGCTTTTTAGGGCTCTACTATGAAGCTGTTTTCTCTATGACTCTATTGAACGCAGCCATTAATGTTACGTTACTTTAGCTAATGTTTGCTGGGTATGAAAGAATGCTTGGTAAAAGGAATCGTTAAAGTGACTTCGATCAATACTAAAGAAATGACGAAATGTTGAGAAATGCTGGCTTAGAATGGCGACAGCGATCCTTTCGGTGTTGACTTTTACCATTCTCCCTTCGATACAGCTATTATTGCGATAAGTTCACCCCTCAGCTCCCTTTTGCCTTAGCCGCTTGAGTTTGTTGTGTAGATACACGAAGAACTAGTTAGCGAGGAACATACTGGCGATCGCTTTCATCTTTAAGTAGCAAGTTTGTATAGCGCGACTGCTTATATATAGGATGTCTATCAACCGCGTTGTCTTTCAAACTATAATAGATATTACAGAAAAAAATAAAAATTGAAATTTTAATATTATTGTTGCATCAAGTTATTCTTTCACAAACATTAAAAAATCAAACTTTCATAAATATATATATATATATTTTTTTTTCTTTTAATATTTAAAATATCTAAAGTAACTTTAAAACTGTAATTGTTATATTAACTTTATCTTGTAATTTATTACTATAGAAATTGTAATTTATTACTTATAGAAAGGATAAATGACGCGTTTACTATAAATTTACTGTTAATTAATTAAACAATAAATTCATATCGTAATTAACAGGAACTCGTAGTTACATTATACAGGACACGCTGTACAGCGAGCGATAATTTACTTTCGAGGTACGAGAAGGTCACGCGGCATTTCTGCGTGACGATCGAACGATTGACAAATAGCTAATTATATCCTTTTGCTGCGCAACAAAATAGAATTCGCAAAGATCGCAGGTTGGCCTCCCTGATTTCTTTTAAGTAGAGAAATAATAGTCTTTCTCTGTATAGGATACACGTAGTACACCGATATTTCATTTACTGCTACGTTTGCCTCCCCCTCCCCCTTCTCTCATTCCTCCTAGAACCTTGATATCCAGACCTTCTCTTCAGCATCCTCAAACTAGTAACCGAGAACCCAGGTATGTAAACAGACAGAGCTAGACGTGTACAGGGCGCTTCGGTTGCAACAGTTCAATGCACCTACCTTCACCGCTGCAACCTGGCCGACGAGATGGCTCTTACCTTCGCCGTTCTAACAAAGTCAGAAGCGATAACACGTTGCTATTCATCGTTGCATCTATCGATTGACTTTTACATTCTTGGAAATCGAGAAAGATTGTAACTATGAACTCTAATTTTACTGAACTGGATTAGTTTGATTATCAGTTCGTTTCGATTTATGCCTTATTATAACAATATCGGAAAAATTTTATCATGTCAATGCTATGTCAAAACTTGATTAATGATTTCACATGCACACATCATGGTATATATTTTTTAAACCTGTAATCAATACACGGAAAAAAAAATATTGTATTAACAGCATTAACCTTTAAACTGTCGGGAAAGCCACTTTGTGACTTTGCAAAAATTTCGAAATTTTGCGTTATGTGGATGTTACTTTTTTTATACAGAAAAATTTTTGAGAAAAAAGAACTACTATTTTAATGCAAAAATGCCGGCAGTCTAAAGATTAAGCAGTCTAGTTGAAAGTAAATCTTAAATTGTTAATTCAATGACAGTAAAAAATGTACAAAAAATACATTAAAATTTAATAAATATTTGTTTAAATAATACTAACTTAACATTTATTTACGGTAAATAAATATTTCCTAAATTAAAGATGATAGTTAAAATAAAATTAATAGTTCTTACGCAAAAAACAAATGCATAATTTACATTTAATAAATATTCAGCTAAAATTATTCAAATATATATTTATTTAAATTTATTACATTTTTTCTCAATATATTAATAAAACAGATAACATTTTATTTAAACAAACCGTATTTGTTTCATTAATACTGTTATTAAATTAACAAGGTTATTTTCAATACTGCTGTCGCTCATGCTGTAATAATACAATGCCATTTTTCTCCGCGTTATATTTTAAATATCGTTAGTGCCTCGCTAAGCTCAAAGGGTTTAATAAGTTAGATGTCATGAGACGAACCTTTTTGTTTCTTTTCTCTGAGTTCATTTAGTTCACTCATATAATTATCACGATTAAATTTATAAAGTGCATATAATTCAGTTTTAGACCTTTAATTACCCGTGTGACATTATCGAGGTAACAAATATTCTATGAGCTCGGAGAAAACTCTATATAATCAGCATTTTGAAGGCGTCGGCTCGTGCCGGCGATGGAGTGAAATTTGCTTTACCGAGCATTGCTGAAATCTGTGGGACGAGCGCGAAGGGCGAATCGCCGCAAAAGGTGATGTTTTCCACGTGGCGACGCGTAGGAGGGGAATCGATAATCGAGGTGGATTTAGTCGGCAGAACGAGTACACGACAGTTTTCCCTATTCTACATTTCCATTCGCGCGACACGCTCGGCACGCCCGCGATCGGCGACAAACGCTTTCGATTTCACGGTAGGAAATGATTGTTGCGCCCACGAGCATGGAAATATGTATTTCGTTCCACGATTAATTGTTAGATGACGAAAGAGTTTCAATAATTTTACCGTTCACTTTTAATACAAACGCAACTCTGTGAAATATTAATTTAAAAAACCTTAATGCAAGTTCTTTGCGTTATTACTAAAGAGAGCTAATATTTAATGTTATTATTAAAATGCAAGCGGGATTAAAATAATAGGCAACGATGAAAAAATCTTAATTGCGCTAATAAAATATTATTTAATAATATTTAAACTATAATACCATGTAGATTATGTATATATAATGAAATCTTGAATTTTTGTTTAATCACATTATTTTAGAAGATTAAATATTAATGCAGTACCGTGAAATATATTAATAATTTTAATTTATCAGTGGATTTTTGTTTAATAATTAATATTAAAAAAGGCTAATATTTGTTAGCAATATCATTATTAAAAAATTCAAACGGAATTAAAATCGTTCGTAAGGATAAAAAAAATCTTAATTGCAATAATAAAATATTTAAACTTCTATATTAATAATAATAAAACTTTGAAATTTTCATTTAATCACAACGTTGTTTCAAATATTAATACAATTCTGTGAAATATTAATTAAGAAACTTTCTGTAGATATTTTTTTATGTTCAATAATATTATTAGAAGACATCGAGTTTTTTTTATGAGCAGCGTTGTTATCCAAAATGCAAGTGGGATTAAAATTATTCACAAAGGTGAAAAAATCTTAATTAATCTTGCGCTAATAAAATTTTAAACTTCTATATTAGTAATATATACAATAAAATTTATTATTATAGGAGGTCAAATATTCAATAATGCAATTCTGTGAAATATTAATTTTCTGAAGATTTTTTACATTCAACAATTATTATCAGAAGAAAATTAATATTTATTAGCACTATTATTAATGCAAGCGAGATTAAAATAATTCGCAAGAGTAAAAAAAGATCCTAATTTCGCTAATAAAGTATTCAATGACATTATTATTATAGAATAGTTGAATATTTATTAGCGTAATCATGATTAATATTAGCTCAATTGAAATTTAGTAGAACGCTGCTCATCTGTCCGTTCCCATCCATGCATCTGTCCATCAGCAAGCAAATCATAAAAACAAAATTCATTAGAATAGTTGAAAGAATGTTGATGAAAGCTTTTTCAAATTTAATTAATATACATATAACAAAAAATAAAGTAATCATTAATGTAATTATTAGTAACACAAACAGAGGATTAAAAAAATTTATTATAGATATTTTACTTAAAAATGTTTTTTTGTTCATATAGAAAATTATTCTAAAATAATATTATTTGTATCGGATATGAAAAAAAATCATTTGAATAATAAATCCAATAAAAAGTGTTAAAGAATATCTCAGATTTTCAGGAAATGTAAAGAATATACAATATTTCTTGTAAAAATAAAAATCTTTTTGAATTCTTTGGAGTGAAATCACTTCAAAAAATTAAAATTAAGTCAGTTTTGAAAAAGTGTAATTTAATTTTCAATTTTTAAGGATAAAATTCACTCTTAAAAGTTTTAGAGAGATCTTTTCTTCTTCAATATAATGTGTAATTACAAATACTGTTATTCAGTCTAAAACCATTGTTTCACATTCAGTAAAAAATCACAGGTTTAAAAACATTGTATATTTTCTTGTCGATCGTTATCATATAAATGAGGAAAAAATTATTCGAGAAATAAAACAGACGCTTCGATAGTGATTTTCTGTCACATTGTGCTGAATTCACGATAACTTTCTCCGCGAACGTATATCATATACATACGGAAGGCACGTTGAGTCGCAAATATGAAAGTAAATTTTGCGGGATCGATAGCGAGCGCGAATACAGCAGTCAGCGAGATATGGAGGAACTCAATGCGCTTTGCTTTGATAGCTTTCACGTCGCTCGTCCCTAGCGGGAACGGGATGGACGGACAAATGGACGAGCGAAAACGTTCTGCTTTTGATCCTCCCCAAGTACTCGTGATTTCAATATACCTTTGCGCCTTTGTCCGCCGATCTAATCTCCACCTCGAATTCTCTATCTTTTGTCGTGCGCGGGACCAGCCGACATTGAACTTTCTTTCCTAAACCTAGACAAAAAACGTTTTCCCGATACAGAAAAGAGATTTTGCATTTCAATCGCGGTACATCAAAAGAGATTTGCATTTTCTCTCATATATTTTACATGAAATTGAGAATTCTTTATTAATCAAAAAATATTTTTTTAGATTATACATTGAAATTTTTTGAAGCAACAATGAAAGTTTTAATCAAGTCCAAAACTTATTATTTATATTACAATACTTTTAAAGCTTTAATTTGATATTTACATATGTACATCTCTAGGCACATTAGCTAGAATTTTATAGATACACGATTTATTTTTGAGATTAGCTATTTGTTCAAATAATATCATCTCATCTTTATATAAAAGCTTTTGCGCTCCAATTATAGAATTGTTAAAAAATTCATAAATACAGCTTTGGCCGTAAGTATAAAACACACCTACAAATGGGCGTATCATTTGATATCTAATAAAAAATAAATTAGAAACCATAAATTAAGATACTTATTAACATTACATTTTCAATATTCTTAGAAGACGCTTATTAGCATTGATATTATTAAATTACTTATCAATTTATTATGTGATATTGCTATTCTAGTTCTAGTCATGACTGTGTTTCAAAACTGATAAAGATTTCAGCGCGCAATTTGCAAATTGGATATAAATTCACATCATAGTACATAAAATATTTAAACATTATGATCTGCATTGACTGAAAATTGGATTTCTCTTACTTTTAATCAGATAGCAAATTTATTCTCATTAGTCCAATGTGGAATTTTAATTAAAAAAAAACAATTTTATTAAAAATAATATTTATTTTGATAACAACTCTAATATTTTATTATTAGTCCTCTTTTGGCCTTTATTATCGTCTTTTCCCACGAAAATGCAATAAATTAAGAATATTTTGGATTTATAACAAAGGCTATAGAAGATTTATTTGTAAAAATATTGATACTTTAAATAATTTAAATTTTAAGAATTGTGGGAATATCTTTCATATAAATACGTACACGTTTGCAGAATTAAGTAATTAAATGTTAATATTCTTACCATATACAAGGTGAGGCATCAAAAACAAGCGAGTTATTACGTGACCTGTTTTAGATGCTTCATCCTGTATACTGTAGTGTACAAATTAACTTATTCAATTTTTCGCATGGTTTTAACATTTTACAAAAATAAATAAATATTTTAACAAATCAAGAAAATTAAATAAACTCAACAGAGAAACAATTCATTTTTTCACTCTAATTTTGAAATCATATAACTTTATTTCTCTCCCTCGTATAATCCATTCCATAAAAATTTAGAAATCAAAATAAAAATAATAAATTTTAATTTTTCCGTATTAGTTTAAAAATTATTTATTAAAGTATTGCATACACACTCCACGTAGCACACTAGAATCTGTAAAACGCTCAGAAAGCGCTTGTGCAAGTAAAGTGGTGTCTACAGTGAAACTTTAAGGCATGAAACTTAAGCTTTAAGAAATTGACCAATCATATTCAATTATTCTCCTTACATTTGACTGTAGTCAATTTCTTATAGCTTAAAGTTTAAAGCTTAAGTTTTACAACTTAAAATCTCATTGTAGAGCTGCTTAACATATTGTAATAGCGCTTATTGAGCGCTTTGTAGATGCTGCTATGCTACGTAGGAGCTAATATTAGCACAATTAAATAACACTGATTTAAATCATACTATAATTGCGCTGGTATTATTTTCAACCTCAAGCTTATTGAGCGGCGCGTTCTTACAATTAGTGCCGAGTAGAAACGATTTCCGTGGCGTAGTTTTAAACAAGCCGAGGGCAGCGACGAGGAGAGCCCTTGAAATTTTCACACCGCCGTGCTTTCTTACATCCTAGGTCGTATCCCAGGTAACAGAATGAAACAAATGAGCTTCGGCAGTCGCCAGTACCGTAATCGCTTCGGTAACGAAATGTTCGTCACGAAACGCGAGCTCTCACGAGAATCACCTGCCGACGTGCTTTCGCGATCCCATCCGCGAGAATAAATAAAATCCGCGGACATATTTCGTCGCTAATCCCGGCTCTAAAAATAAGTGACCTGTTTTATGATTTTACGCTCTTCTCTCATCGCGGGAATTAGAGAATTTAGATTAATCTTCTGATTAAATGTGCTCGTGAATTTAGTTAATGCGCAATTTGGCAAACCGTTTTCTGCTTTAGAATGATTGACGTAAAAGTTAATTAGTTTCGAAAAAGAAATCATAATTACATTGAAATTACATCGATTAATTTGTAATATAAGGGAATGCGTCAATTTCTTGCTTTTTTTCCCCGTCGAGGAAGAAAATTGCGCACTGTAAAAACAGAAAACTAATGGCGTGAAAATGAAAATTGGCTGCGTCTGTGAAGATAATGATAGTGATTAAGGGAAAATTGATTGCGAATGGGGAGAAATTCTTCCTGTCGATGCCACCTGCGATCTAAAATTGCTCGTTTTGAAATATCCGCAGTGAGGATATGTCCATAACGACGACGACGCGATCTAGAAGCGATCTATGTTAATCGCAGCTGTAGAAACCATTCATGTGATCGGTGCCTTATAACCTTATGTGCTCCATACTGCTTTCCAACTTTTCCGGGTGAGAATTCGTTCGTACAATTTCTCGCCTCGAGCAGTCATCTCGAAAGTGAATAAACGCTCGTCGTCAGCGGGTCATCGAATGATCCCGATCACCCGTCAAAAGCTCTCTCATTTCTCAAACCGTCTGTTCGTGTAGTTCTATTCCCGGGTATGATTGCACGAAATCTATTTGAATTTATTTAAATATATATGGAGATATATATATCTCCACATTTTTCTCAAGCACTGTGCAATATTTTAAGAGTTAAACAAAAACATTGAAAAGAAAAGAGTATGAGTTAATCAACGCAGATGTTAATATGCAAGTATATTCGAAGTAAAATATATTTTCTTGTGTGATGACAATTTTAAACAAAACATATTTATAACAAATTTTAGAAAACTGCGTTATCATATAATTCAAATAAAAATTCATTTCTCTTAAAGAATATATTATAAAATTTATTTTTAGCTTACACTAGAAATTGAATGTACTTTAAATAAATTTGATGAGTGTGATAAGCTTATGATAGATTTGCGAATACATGAACTTTTTAAATACTTGAAACAAGTAATTACTTGAATACAGAGTATAACAAGAAAGTAAAAATTCTCGATTTTTCTTAAGAAAACATTTTAGTTTAAAGTTAATGGTCAAAATTAATTACTTTTAATTTTTATTATTTCATTATAATATACTTTCGTTAAAGATTCTCTAAAAGACTTAAGCTCTGTGTGTGTGTGTGTGTTCATTTAAATTTAATTATTTTCATAAGCTTTGTTTTCTTTCAGAGTTATTAATATAAAATGACAATTTTATATAGAATTTTAAAAATATTCCAGATCTTTGAAACGATATCTTTGAGATACATATGTTCATATAGTTTTTCTTTAAAAAATAATTTAAAATAATTTTAAGTTAACTCTTAAAATATTTGATAATAAGAAATATTGTGAATTTTGGTACGCAATATATTAATAATCTTAAAATTAAAAAGATAATAAAAAGTAAATTGGATTAAAAATCTAAATTGGATGAAAAGTGAAACAAAAACAATAATAGGTTATGAGTCAGATTTTCATGTTAAAATTTTTAAACAAATGTTCTAAATATATAAAATAAACGTTTCAAGCTCCATCAGATCATCCTCAGTGCTAATTATGAAAACAATGTCAAATGTCAGTTGAAGATACAATATAGATTGGTAGATCGTATTAATATTATAAGAAGCATTTGTAACACTGATTTCTAATATTAATAGGACCTACCGATTTAAGTTTTCAACTGACATTTAACATTGATTTTATTATAAACACTAAAGATAACCTGATAAAAGTCGAAACATTTATTTCGTACAAGTGTATTTAAAATACTTGTTACATAAATTTTAAAACCTAAAAGCTCGGCTCGTAACCAATTATTGTTTTCATTTCATTAAAATTACTCAGATCGTATTGTACCTAATGTTCCAAACATACGAAATTCTAAAGTCTTTGAACGATCAATCTGCTCGTTGCTAACAGTAAATTTATATTTAGTATTATACTTCAAAAATAGAACTACGCGATTCCCGGAGCTGAGCCTATTAAATTTAAGCGATATCGCCTGCTATAGTATTTGCTTTCATTAAAATACACTAGAGATTATATTAGAGACGAAGGGTAGGTTGGTATGTGATAGAATCACTTCGGATTATCATTTGATATCTTCTCGAATCAAAGGCGCAAAGCGCCCTACGAAATTAGCTGTTAATCTTCGACACTCACAATTATCAAATCGGCTCCGAAATTCGCAAAATCTCGCGAATCTCATTCACTTCCGCTCGATCACCTCCCCTTTGTTTCCGATCGGGACGATTGATCTCCATCTGACGACGAATCGTCCCGACGACGCCGATAGGGCTAATAAAGACGAGACGCGCGATTTGATAAGAGCGGCCGCGGAGCGGGGTGGGTGGTTCTGAAATGGAAATTTTGCCAATTGCAGAGTGGGCTGCAGGAGGGCGCAGCAGCACCAAGTGACGACCTCCGACCTCGCCCTCTCCAATGATGACGAGTGCGACAATCAGGTACTGCGGGCGTATCCTTTTCGAACCGTCGCGCCGCGGTGATCCTTCGCCACTCAACGAGTCTTACAATCAATTGAAGTCAGAAGCTGCGTTCCACTTAACGTTCGCAACGCTCACGAGCATCGTTTTTTCTTGTTTAACATTTGATAAACAACGAAGATGAAATGATTCCACGAGCGTTGTGAGCGTTAAATGGGACGCAGCCAGAGTCGGATAAAATGAAAGTTGAAAACGGATGTTTAAAAATAACACTGAATAAATTTTGATAACATTTAACAAGTAATAGGTGTTTCTTGCAGGGCCTTTCACACTAGAAAAGAATTTTCTTTTCAAAAATTCTGTCACCCATCAATTTTTAGAATTTTTGCTTTGAACTTTTGTATAACACAAATGCGTGATGTTATATGTAAAACATTTAAATATTTTTTACAATACATAAAAATAAATGTCATATAAATTGTTTAGGTACAATTTTAAGTGACATATATGTATACATAAATATATAAATAATAAAATTATTGGAAAATTTAATCTAAAAATTGTAATGATTTATAGGGATTTACAAAGAAAAACAAAGTCCTTGGTTTTTGGAAATTTGTGCAATTTTTAAAATCTTTTTTTAGCAGCTATAAAAATGTATAAGAATTATCAGGTGTTGAGAAACAGAAACCATGTAATTAGGAGGACTAAAGTACTGTGAATGTTTTAGAAATTACCGTAACACAAGTGTCACGAAATTCTTACACAATTTTAACTTAAATTTTAATTCCCAACGACATTAATCACGTTTAATCTTAATTTGGCTTTTATTCATACGAATTATGAAGCGTAGAACAAAGAACCGCTGTCTCGTCCGAGAAAAATTATGATGGGAACACCGTACGGGTGAAAGAGTTCGAAGGGATACACCTAGAAAGCCGCTAAAGCCGGATATCGTGATTCTTTATCCCCGATGAAAATTTGTGTCACCAATATCGTCGTAAAAAAAAAAAGAAAAAGATATTGAAAGCTTTCTCGCGATCAATCAGGATGAAACACGGTCGTGTCCTTTTTTCCAGGATTATGATGACGAGATCGAGAATGGACGAGGTCGCAGACACAGTTCCCCAGGCGGCTCGCGGGGTAACCCCAGGGATTATGGCCATCACTTGCACCCGGACAATTTGGTGAGTCGACCAGCACAAATTCGATCATCGGACACGGCACTTTGAGACATCTTCTATATTCTCTCCAATGCTATTGAAATACTCTGATCGCGTCCGAAAGTGAGAAAATTTACTGACGCGCAACTCAATTTCTTCAATGTGGTTGATTTAAATTAATTGATTTTTATTTTAAAGAGTGAAACCCGAGAAAGTCTCGAGAAAGAAAATTCGAAAAGAAACGCAAATTCGATGAAAGAGATTTCGATTCAAATTCGAGTGATCAATTCAATGGAGTATCTAAGTCTCGATTTATTATATCATATATTAAAATTGTATTTAGATTTAGAAAGTTGTGTGTGTGTTAGAAAATATCAAAGCATACTAATTTTTGAAAATATAATTACATTTTTTAATATTATGTTATGTAATTATATTTTCAATACTATATTATTAATAATATAATCAAATTGTTTTATTCTCTCTCTCTCTCTCTCTCTCTCTCTCTCTCTCTCTCTCTCTCTATCTCTCTTTAAACGTAAACCTATATTTAGTGTTTGATATTTTAACTAAAAAGGTATTTAATTATTATTTGCCTTATAAAGTGATCGGATCATTTTTAGTGGCTAAGGATTATTGTTTCGAGATAGATTTATTGTAATAGCTTTATACCGTAGAACAACGAAACAGAGAAATTAGATACCCTTTAAAACACATAATAACATTCTAGAATAGGCGATCCTTTCATATTATAGACAAGCGATCGTGTGACTGTCTCTCAGGGAGAAGAGAAAAGTTATAGAAATTCAAATTTCGTCTGTAGTTTGCATCCGACGTATTTAATACACGTAGCGAGTTGTGATCCCGTTACAGGAATAATTACACAAACATAGATTGCTGTTTACAGTATAGACTTAAGTATCGCGTGCTGCAGGCAACAGGTAAATCTTAAACACTTGCTTACTTTATGCAAATTACACTTTAAAATGATACATCGCAAGGAGCGTGCAACAAAAATAAAAAAATTTAATTAAACTTTAGACACAAAATATCCTAATTAATTATGCATATATATATTTCTTTAAAAGAATATTTAAATACGCGCGTAAAATGTTAACGTGTGTATAAAAAAGTGATATCTATTAATAATTTGTATCAGTCTCTTCCCTTTCACATTTTTAATTCATGAACTCTCATTATTAAAATTATTATTATTAAATAATATTATTTTAATTAAATCATATATAATGTTTTACGTTATATTAATATCAGATCCGCGGTATTACTTATTATTTTTCTTATATGATTTAAAATGTAAGCTTATTTAATTTCTCTCTAATATCTTCGTAAACGAGTAGAGTTAAACGAAAGTACGTGCGAAATCGGGTTTTGCCAGACGGCCTCATTTAAATTCGTATATAACGCTCGAGCAACGTTGCGCGATAATTTCTCCGTTTAATTTGTGCACGCCTGTTACTCACGTACAGTTATTTACGCGCAATACGTACACGCTGCATCACTCTAGAACGAATTTTTGGAGCAAAGATAAAAAATGGACTGCGTTAAATCAATTTTTTTCTATAAAAAAGAGATTTAGAAAAATAGACTCTATACAATATTTAAATAATAAGTATAAAATGTACTTGTATGCATACAAATTTATGTTTACTTATAAATTAGAGAACCCAAACGTCTAATTATACTTTTATTGATAAAATAACTTGTTATTAATTTATTACTGCGTTCTTATCAGAATATGAAACGCGGTTATCACCGCGTTTCATATTTTGTATATTATTTCTGTGTCAATATCACTAGTCTTGTTGTATAATTTATGTATTAATTATTATATATTAATTACATATATTAATTATATATTAATTATATATATTATGTATTAACTAACACTTTATATTAAGAGTCCTCGTATTCAAAATTTTATTTTTAATTAACACTGGAAAAAAATTGTTTATTTGCAAATTAATTTAGTTCATCTTTATTTCTTTTGTTGAAAAATGTATATATTTAAGTCAAATATAATATACGTAACATGTCTGACATTCTTTATCACAAGAAATAAAAATGGATTTTAATGTGGTCAAATGAACAACTTTTTCTCGAGTGTATCAATTATGACAATGTATAATTGTGTATATCATTCCACATTTATTACGTTTTAAATTCCAATTTTTAATTAAAAGTTGATAGAGGACGCGATACGGCTTGTATGTGCGCCTTTCGTTATCTTGCAACGTACAATCATCGATCGGAATTGCAAACGCGTAATAAGCCTATCTTTTATGCCGTTTTTGCACTCGACGCCAACGCGTTTTATGTGATTCGCGTAATCATAATCGTAATCGCGATACCAACCTGATAATAGTATGTCATTGGCGCAAATGTAAATTTACAACGAGATCAATGACGCCGGGTTATCAACAGTAATTCGTGTCGCTGGTAAATATAGGACGCGTGCCCGACAGGTATTTACCGATGTTTATAAACGCGTTGTTGTTCGACAAAGTTGTAAAAATTAAATATTTATTATAGTCGCGGCAGAGGAAGAGAGTGATGCATCAAATAACAGTAATAACCGATATCGATGATAAATGCTCTCACATATTCATTTCCTCCCCATCAATTTATTTTTATTTATAGAGCAGTTTTTCATTGTTTACATTTCTCACGCTCTATTTTTATTCCAACGATCTATTTAGGTGGAGATTATAAAGGTCAATATAATTCGTGCACGCGCACTTGTTTTGCGTCAACTGATGCAGCTACAAACTTTCCGTGATGAACCCCCTGATAAATAGTCGCATGATCGCACCCCGATATCGACGTAATGTTATTATAGGCGTAGATTCAAAGTGGTAGATCACCAGTCCATTTAACAATGTCTAATGGTCGTTATATAATAGATGATTGTAGTAATCCATACGAAAAGGGGATGACAAACTCATCGCGCGAAATGTCTCGCGTCTTATTTCGGCGATCTATAGGATTCTATAACGATGATCATCTCGAACGGGGCAGGAATGAATAAACGATCACAGTTTTTTAACGCGGAATAAATGTCAGATAAGACATCCGATATTCGTTAGCGACATTTTGTCCCGGATATTTTATATAAGATCAAACCGAGAAAAGTATATTATCTAAAATAAAACCATATGAATCATCTTTCGGAAATTCAACACGGAAAAAGCGATTGCTGAATCATCTAAAGTTTAGCTACAGTGAGTACAAAAAATATTTGTATAGGAAAAATATCTTGCTCATTATCAGTTTCAGAAAGTAAACATTAATTAGTAATTTATTAATAAAACATAAAATGTGGATTGTATACTTCTCAAAACTATTTTACCTAAAAAGATGTAATAATTAAAATATATTATCTTAATATAATATCCAAGCGAAAATAAAAAAATTATTATTTGGAGGCACAGAAAATATTCGTAGAAATTTAAAATCGAGAAAAAAGATCATGATCAGGTTATTTTCGCGAAGCTCTTTTATTCAGGATAGAATATATTCTTTGTTAAAAAATTTACTAATTAATGCTTTATTTCTTTTTACTAGAAATAGACTTTTTTTAAAAAGTCTCATTTGTATGAATACTTTTTGTATTCACTATATAAATAGAATACGAATCTAAAAATAACTTTGCTGGACCATTAAAATAATAATGTACGACACTCAAATTATTAGAACGTCAAATCTTTTTGCAGTTTTATTATCATGCTTAAACGACCTGGATAATTACTTTAATAATCTAATAAAATGAGTTTCAAATTTTTATTTAGCTAAATTTTTGGGTGCTACAGCAAAATTGTTTTTTCCACATATAAAAAAAAGAAAAATTTAGTAAAGTTCAGCGTTTAAACGTTACATTTTGAATGTTACACTTTAAAAGTGAACAACAAACATCTCGAGATTCAGTGAATTATGCTTTTCTCTCTTTACCTGACATTTTCGAATAACTTTGAAGTCTTAAGAAGGTCATTGCTTAAATGTTCTTCAAGAAACGCGGGATGTCACAAAAGAGTTCTAGCAAGGGCTGCGAGATCTCTCTCTCTTTCTGTCAGATCTTGATATTTTATATTCTTAACAACCACATATAATCGGGAAAAGAGGAAATATATCAAATAATTATAGCAAATTCGCGATGTACTGGAAACGTTCAATGAGATCGCTCAGGTAGAAGAGCACGAAATCGAGATACGCGAACAGGTGCCGATACGAAACGAACAGAAGAACCAATGAAGTAGCAGCTCGGGCAGTCACAGTGTTATCGACGTCACTGGCACTGACGTGATGTAGTTTCTAAAAAGTGCTTTACGATCGTTCGTTCTCCCCAAGAATAACGACTTCTACCGACTATTACGACGTCTAACGTCTGGATGAAAAAAAAAGACGTCCGGATTGCCTTCTGCCAGGCAGGTGCGTAGAACAGAGATAATGAAGAAACCGCGATTTTATGGACGACATCGTAACTATACATTTGCTCTGCTTGAAGTACTCGAACGAAGCGATAGGAGAGAAATACGAATTATCGGAATTCCCTTCTCGAGAAGTTCGAGGAACTTCACGATCTAACAACTCTTGTAGATTTAAACGATTTAATATCAACATTAGTTTTAAACAATGTACACGAAAGAATGATTTTGCTGAAGTATCTAAAAATTTAGTTAGCTAAGATTTGAAAATAATTTTATTTAAGCCATCGAAATAATTATGTAGAACGTTCAAACTAATTCCTAGAGTATTGAAACTTTTTGTAATTTTATTATCAAAACATCTTGCATAATTATTTTAATAATTCAACAAAATCATTTTCAAATGTATATTTAACTAAATTTTTAGACTTTAGCAAAGTCGTTGTTTCATATACCGATAATTTTAATCTCATTATGTATTCTATTTAATCAAAATATTTTTAATATATATCCAAATTTTTATTTCATCCTACAACCATCAAATTATTTCATTATACTAATAATATGTATAAACAAATTTTATTT